TTACCCTGGATTATCCAAAGGACCCAATATAATCACGGGGAACTTAAAAGCAGATAAGAAGGAAAAGGAGTCAGAAAAAGAGATGTGAACAGCATCAGAGAAATGTTTAACTATTGGCTTTACTATTTTTCTTTCTTTTTAAATTTAATTTATTGGGGTGGCATTGGTTAATAAAATTATATAGGTTTCAGGTGCACAGAAAGGAAACTGTGAAAAGGGAATGCAGGTGGCCTCTAAAAGCTGGAAGAGGCAAACGAACAGGTTAAAGCAGTGGTTCTCAACCTTGGCCGCACATTAGAATCACCTGGGAATCTTTTTAAAATCCTGATTTCTGGGCCTCATCCTCTGGAAATTCTGTGTCTTTATTATGGGGTGGGGCCACAACATCAGCAACAAAGAAATAGAATTTCCGGAGGATGAGGCCCAGAAATCAGGATGTTAAAAAGATTCCCAGGTGATTCTAATGTGCGGCCAAGGTTGAGAACCACTGGTTTAAAGAGTGCAGCCCTGCTGTGGACAGGGACACCTGTAAGATAATAACTTTGTGTCATTTAAGTCAATGTTTATGTTAACCTAATTAACATATATGCAATAATGTACTGCTACTTAAATTTGAGTATTTGCCACGAAAACAGTTCGTTTTTCTCACATAATTATGACTTAGTCATCAGTAAGATGCCTTAGCTAATAAAAACTTGTAGGAATAAGGTGATTACTAGCTGGGTACTGAGTCATAGCTCAAAATGCCTTTGCCCAAATAACCAAACCCACACCTTTGGGATTGCCAGATGAGGTCTGTAATGCACTATTACACATAATTCAACGTGGCTAAGCTCATTAAATATGAGACTCAAGTGCAGGAATAAGATAGTCTATTCCTTCATAGAAAAAACAGGATGATGCAATAAATGGATGTCTGCTGTGTTCCAAGTATTAGGAGATTTATACACATCATATTTAATACTAAGTTAAGTTGTTATATTTCATAGGCAGTAAGTTTTAAAGCCTGGATTCCAACCGAGGCACTCTGCTTCTGACGCTTGTGTACTTATCCACTACCTCATCCTTCTCCATGTACATCCTCTGATGTGGTGAGCTGTCTATACAGCAGTGGTCAGAAGGCAACTTGGTTTTAACAGAAGGGGCCTTCCACAGTGAATGAAAGATAGGCTTTCTGAAGAGTGCAGAAATAGATCAACTATAAAATGAGAAAAACAAAAATCTTCAAGTGTAAGGAAGATTTTATATCAAAGTAATTAAAGAGTCTTTCTACATTTTTAGCTTGTAATAACAAGGAAATACAAGTAATGATTGGCTCAGGCAAATCATTCGATTATTCATGCCATTTCCCAGTTTGCTGAAACTGTCCTTAACATAAGCAATTATTTCAGTTTCACAGATCAGTAGCTTGGTGCTAAAAGACAATTATTTGTAATGTGTGCATTATTTTTAAATTCGGATGAGTGGAGACAAAGATGAGTAAACATCACATTTATTGAACAGAAAGGAAAACATCAAACATGGAAAATTCAAAAGTCATTAAATATTTCTTTTCGTCCAGCAATAAAGTGCTCTAGGTGAAGAGGGAATGGTCCTTGTTCATTATTGGAAAAATGAAGGCCATTCATACAAAATTTATGGCCCTGATTTTAAAATCTTCATTCCTTATATCCAAATTAACTTTGAAATAAACAATAGCTCATCATTTCAATTCTAATGACCTATAGGAAACTCAATTATTTATATCATCTGAAAGTAAAGTAGCAAACTTATATAATAACAGGTAAGTAATGTTCATGGGAACATACTTTTTAATAATTAAAAATTATTTTTAAAAACCTTGTGTTCATTAATAGAGGAATACATGAGTAAAATTAAAATATGGCATAGTCATACACTGGAATAATATAGTAATTAAAATGTTGAGCTACAGGTACATGTCTCCATATGGATAAATCTTAAAATATGAAATTTTAAAAAGTTAGAGAAAGGTTCATACAGTGACATATTACTTACACAAATTAAAACAGGTAAAATAAAATTTTATTGTATATACATATATATATATATGAGAAAGTTCATGTATAAAACACTAGATTTTGAAATACAGCAAATTTCTAGGTTATTTGTCACAATGAAAGGGAGGAAAATCCAAAGGAAATGTTTTATTTATTTTTATTAAATAATAACTGGAGCAAATATAATAAAGTATTAATATTTACTACTTAAATATTTGGGGCAAAATGTATTTGAAATAAATCATTCAGAAAATTATTTCAATTTATCATAATAACCAAATAATTCACTCTCTCAAAATTTATGATAATCATATAGTCTTACTAAAAATAAATTCAGTATAAACCTCTCTGAAGATTCCAAGATGACAAGACTATATTGGATATTCTACAAATTTAATTCAGGAAATAAAACCAAGTTTTAAGCTCGTGAGAGCTTGAAATTTCCAGTTTTATTTCACATATTCTTATGTGCTCTAAGAAAGTGCAATTTTGTCTCCTGATAGAGAATGTCCCTCAGGAGTCGATCGTGGCAGTTCCCTGTGAGCATCCTGGTGAAGGTTCATAAATCGCCTGTGCCATGTGGAATCTAACAATTTTACAGCTGGACTGTATAGACTTGGGTAGACGGGACAAACAGAAAATACTTAAGCACAAAAAGATCCAGAATATGAAAACCCAGTTACTAAAATCACATAGCCATATGTAATTTGCTAGAAACTTAACCAGGGGCCAGCGTGTTTTTAATGGCATCCCAGATAAAAGTGGATGTTCAGTCACTAAGCCCAACCACTCTTCTGAAACACGGCAAGACAACTTGAAAGCGAAAGCTGGGACTCTAAGATCTCAGTAATCAAGGAAATGGGGATATGGTGACTTCTCTCAATCACTAGATTACTACTCTTCCCCTCCTCCTAATCTGTTCTTTCTGTAACTTCAGTGATCTTTTTAAAGTACAAATCTGGTCAAGTCACTCCTTTGCTCAAAACTCTTCATTATGCTAAGTGAAATAAGCCAGCCAGAGAAAGACAAGCACCATCTGATTTCACTCTTATGTGGAATCTAATGGACAAACTAACTACCAAGCAAAATAGAGACAGACTCATAGAGAGCAAGCAGACAGCTCTGGTGTGTCTGTGGGGGAGGAGGAGGAGTGGAGGGGAAAGGGCATTGGGAGGGTGTGGAGGGATTGAGCAAAAAAGAAAAAAAGGGAAGTCATGGACATGGTCAACAGTGTGGTGAATGCAGAGTGGAAGTGGAGGAGGGCATAGTGCGGATAAATAGTGATGGAAAAAATAAAAGAAGTAAGTAAATAAAAAGTCACTTTGGAGCAAAAAAACTAAAAACACAGACACAAAAACTCTCCAATGTCCTTTGCTGCTCTTAGGGTTAGATTGAAACCCCTTAAGTTGACTTACCAGCTATATCTCTTCCTCCTCATTTTAGTCCACCCCTTCTCGTACTTTAATATTCTAATCAGGGTTTCTTGACCTCCTCCCCATTCTATTTAATTAATTGTTTACTTGGGCACATCCAACATTTAGTCCGTGGTCTCCTTCTCAAGGGCAGAGATCAAACTTACGGGGTTCATTATTATAACATTAGTGCCTACCGTAGTGCTTGGAATATAGTAGGTACTCCACAAGCATTTGTTGAAAAAAGAAAAGGAGGGAGGAACACAGGGAAGAGCAAGGAAAAGGTTTGAGGACAGACTAAATGTAAAAATTGGTTTATAAAGCATTAGGAAGAATGAAATGATTTGGTGCCAGTCAGAGAAGCTATCTCTACATGGCATCTCAGTGTGTCTATCTTTGTTTCCATTGTTGTTGTTTTTAAATTATAGTAAAATTGTGTTACCTATATATTCAGATTTTCCACTTGAGGGTTTTTTGTTTGTTTGTTTTTTGTAGCCTGGTTAATAACAAATATCAATGATCACCCTGGTCTGTGTAGTTCAGTTGGTTGGGCTTCGTCCCAAAATTGCAGGTTTGATTACCGGTCCAGGCACATGCCCGGGTTATGGGCTTGATCCTAGTAGGTGGGGTGGCAGGAGGCAACTAATCCGTGTTTCTCTCTCTCCTTCTCCCTTCCTCTCTCTCAAAAAAAAATCAATAAAAAAATCTTTTTTAAAAAAGGCAATGATCACTATTTCTAATTTACAGTTTTACAATAATTTCTAAGTTACCCAAAGCATGGCACTATTTGAACAGCTTGCACACAATGCCTAGCAGAAAGCGAAAGTCTACAGGGATGAGATAGTCATACTGTTTTGTTATTCTAGAGAAGTCCATCTTATTAATGCATTCATTCATTCATTAGTTCAGTAAATATTTATAGAGTGCTTCTGATGTGCTAAACATTGGTAAATTCTGGGTGTATAATAATGAGCCAAACAGACGTGGCCACTGCCCATATGAACTTAATATCTACCGGGTGAGATGACATCTACCAGGCACAAAATAAGGATGAATTCAGCTGTCAAAAAGTGTAGAATTGTGAAATAAGACCTTTATGAGAAATGGAGTTTAAAGTTTTACTCTGTACCCAGTATATATTTCACTGGAGAGAGTCCTTATTTATATTCATATTCAAAAGAAAAACAGACAAACCACCTTCTCTATCATATTCCTTTAATTTACATAACATTGAGGAACATTTTGAAAATATTAGAGTTCTAGTGTAACCTTAACCTTTAACCTTAACCCTTAACCTTTGCTCTCATGTATTTTAAGCAGGTGTACCTCTGAAGAACAGAGACTGTGGGAAATGACAAATGTATTTACCTCTCAGTCAAGTGAGGCTTCCCATGAACTCTCTCAGGTGGGAAGAAAAGTTTGTGTCACAGTTGCTACCTTTCAGACAGGGCAGATAGACTGATATTATCTTAGGTGATGGCAGAATCAAGAAAAGGAACAGGGTCTTACAAATGATAGGATGTTAGCCCAAGGCAGTGCCAAAGACCAGGGGACGGAACCAGACACTTACTGGTAGGTGGTGGGGCTGACATTGATGCGCCGAGGGTGGCTTCCCGATTCGAATTTGCTTGCCAGAGTGACGTTATTTCCAAACAGGCAATATCGTGGCATTCTTACCCCAACAACTCCAGCCAGCACAGAGCCTGAATGAATGCCTATCCTCATCTAAAAAAAAGAAAAAGGATATATTATGTTTTCATTTGGTATGCGATTATTTTAATGAGAAGTACTGCTAATTATGCACTCAAACAATGAACTCCTCAAAGGCCTTGGTTGTTATTGTGAGCCCAATATCTGGATAAACATGGATGCTGTGAAATAAATGAATAAGTGGACTTATTAAAATTACGTTTAATTTGCTACATAAATCTAGTTATGTTACAAGTTAAATCAGGTTTAATTTGTATATTAAATGCTCTATACATGAAAAATGTATTATTCTTCTTGCAGTTATTTATTCTCTCATAAAACCACATTTCCCCTCCATAGCCTTAAACACAATTATAAATTAAATATTTATATTTCTGTTTATTATATTTCAATGTTGGATTTTTTCCCGTGAGAGAAGAATCCATATGTATTTCCTTATTGCTGAATATTCAACACTTAGTTCTGTACCAAGAGCAAAGTAGACACTCAATAGTAAGTGATGAAAGTTGACTAAATTGCCTAAATTCCCCAACATGGTATTAAAATGGAGTTATACAGCATTCAACCATGGTGTCTGTCCATAAGAGTCATTTGAAACCCTGAAGAGTAAAATAAGTGTTGTATATTTTATTCTCTGAGAATATGATAAATATTAGTCTGGTCCACACCTTGAAGGAGCCCTCAATAGGCACTTAATATACAATTAAATAAGGTTTCAGTAATTAAGTTGTATACCCATGATCTACCCCAAATAACCAAAGCTAATGGCGACCAAGTGGAAAATGCTACCCTTATTGCTAGGGGAGTGTAATTCTGGAAATGAGGAGAACATCTGATCCCTAGATGTCCACTAGGTGGGCCGTGTCAGCTTTTCAATACCATGTGTGGTATTGCTGCTATAGTTGTGAGAATAAAATGCTACTCTTAGACTAACCCTGCTCATCAGACTGGAGACTTCTGCATGTATCAATCCACAATAAGACAGGTTAAAACCAATGTGATCTAGCTGAGGTCCTAATAACCTCGTCATCTACTCTTTAAAAAGTGATTCTAAAATTTATTTTGAAATTCAATATATTAGGAGGAACCAAGATATACTTAAGAAGAAAAAGATGAAATATTTGCCCTATGAGACATCAAGTCTTTGTATAAACATTTAAGTAGTACATGATGTTATAATATTGATGCACAGAGACATAGACTAATAAAACAAATAGCGTCCCCCCCCCCCAAACTTCAATGCATATATAGGTGATTGATATATGACACAGTTGGCATTTCAAATTAGTTAGAAAAAATATGGCATTTCCATTAGGATATTCTGTATCAACTGTGTCTTTGTGTAGAAAAATAACCTGAGTACAATAAAGATCTTAATGTAAAGGGTACCATATAACAGCTTTAAAAACAACTATTTCAATTATAAATAAGTGTTGTATATTTTATTCTCTGAGAATCTGATAAACATTAGTCTGGTCTATGCCTTGAAGGAGTTCTCAAGGTGCAGTTAATATACACTTAAATAAGGTTTCAGTAATGACGTTGTATACCCTTGATCTATACCAAAATAACCAAATCTGCAGTATCAGTTAAAACCTAAAATATAGACACCCAAAACTATAGACTTTTATTAGTCTCTTAGTAACTTCATTACCGAAAACTTATTTAAGGTGAGTGGTCCAGATTGCCAGCATCTAGCTCTGTTCCGCTTAGTCGGTCAGGTAGCAAGTTCTTATCACTGTGTTCCTCTTCATATCTTGTCATATATAGGGTGTCCCCTCAAAAGGTATACACAATTCCATATCTGATAACTCACTTAATCTTCACACCTTTTCAGGTTTAAGTGGTTTGAAATAATGAGTGAAGCCAGACTAAAATTTATCCTAAAGTACCACTAGATTTTGTTTTTATGGGGACACATAAAAGATAAAGTTTATGGTACAAAACTGGCAATAGTTGACAAATTAGGGGCACAATAATATCAAAGGAAATGATTCTTGATGTTTGTGATTCTATAGCTTTGTATTATCAAAGGTGCCTGGACCAGAATGGTCATCAGTTTGAAACAGGCATTGACAAAAACAATTATTAATTTCTGTAGATCTTTCAAGTTTTGAAATTATTTCAAAATGTGAATCATATGGTCCTCCATCAACAAAAAGACAAATTTACAAATGTTTCTTATCTCTAAAAATGTTTTTTAGTTTAAAATTGAGACAGTAAAAACTAACTCAAGGGGTTGTTATATGAAATAAAAGAACTGAAAGTGATAATATAAAAAATAACAATTCACGAATATTGGAAAGAAAGGAACCAATTAACCAACCAAAGGGTAATAATGCTAAATCCTTTGGTACATACCCTAAATCCTGTTGTATATTACTGTTGTTACCAATATTTATTCCATTTGGACATTAGATGGCGCTCATGCTCATTTTACTGAGCATGTTGGCTCTCTAATATCAGCAATATATTTCTCAGCTCAAGATGTGTATGGAAGATCTGGCCCAATATTAATTTGGAAGAGGGTAAATTGTGTA